ATATTATTTTCTCGTATTGTGTATTATGATGTTTGATTTCGATTTAACGTTTTTAATTAAACTCAAAATCTGATCAAGGTTATTCTTATAAGAATTTACTTATATAATATTTTTATAATTTTATCTCACATTTATTTTATAGACAGATGAATAAAACTATATTGTTTGAAAAATTACAGATAAGTCATGGAACGAAACTCAGAATAATATGTGTATTTCAATTTCTATTTTACTTGAGTTTCATGTTTTCGTCTTAGTATAATATGTATTAGACTCAACACCAAGTTACGCCCAAGACTTGCTCACCACTCCATTCCCTTCCAAAACAAGTTCACCGCCCCTCGGAATCTCTTCATCGCCCACCGAGGAGCGATATCTCCCACGTAGTGAATCACTGACTGTAACTGCTTGTAACATTGTACAACAAAATTCTTCAAGACTAACATTTCGGATCGAGCTAGTAAAGGTTTTGTTTCAACGCGGACACGAGAAAGATTTAATTAAAATATTTCATTTCTCCATGGATGATGAAAGACGTAAATTAACAATTAATGGATATTTGTGTAAAGTCAGTTAGCCAAATGATTTGCTATACAAGAAGATTTTTGATTAAATACGTCGCGTATGGATGGTGTATAGATTACAAGTTTTCGAGTAATTCCAATATATTTTTCTGAAGTTTGAACGTTTGGAGTGTTGTTAATACATTTGATTGATAACGCGATAACTTGCATAACGACATAATAACATTGCAAAAGACGTAGTGATTGTGCGCTATTATAATATATATATACAACAAATATATTCACCATACATATAGGTATCCGAAAATCTACGGGAAACGAGTGCGTATTTTTTTCGTCAAGTTTGTTCATTTGTTTCCTTTGTCTCCTAGAACCTTAACTCTCCGTTTCCCCATCCGTTGAACCTGCGCTTCTCGTAGAAATGAACTCGGTGTCGTACATGCACACGTACATGTGACCCGTTAAATTGTCGAGTGCTCAAAGATGCCGGGGTGAAGGCATCCCCGGAGAGATGTTTCGCATCATCTCGTATGAAAAATGGACCGAAATAAAAAAACAGACGAGCAGAGATAAAGATAGAGAGGTACGGAGGTAGAATAAGAGGCAGTGAGAGGGAATAAAAAACACATTCGTCGTCAAGAAATGAATTTCGTCGGTCGGCGGAGCCCAGTCAGTCCGGGCCGACCGCTGGGAGTACGATGGTATAATAATAATAGTAATACACCGAAGAGACGACGTTCGTCCGACATAACGACGACGGTGACGGCGGTGTCGACGAGCGATTGTCGAAGGAAAACACAACGAACCTCAACCGTTATTTGTCGTGCCTAATGACGTATCGCGTAATGCATCGCGCGTAGACGTCTCCGCCCCCGGAGCCATCGCAGGTCGTTTATATGTAGTGACGTGCGGGTCGGCAGCAGCGTGGGTACGAAACGCCCCGGGGAAATTCTATCCAGAAAAGTAAATTGGTCTTGTTCTAATTCCTTTAAGAGGGTGAACATAAAACAATTGCTGTTGTTCTTGTTTTCCGACCAGGATCTGAGATTTTATTATGATATTATTTCTCGTAATACCGTATTTTAATCTGACAGCGAATTCAGAGAGGAAAAACGTAATTACCATTAACCGCAGTGCCGTCTTAATCGCCGAAGACTCCATTATTAATGCGGCCCGCAGATTTACGAAAAAAGATTTATCGTGAATTCGTATCTTAAATAAATATCCATATACACGTTATAAACGATATTTGGAAATGGAACTTTTAACTGATTATCTTAACTAACATTGTTGTAGTTCTTATCAAAAAAATAAATAAAATATCACTTAATGTGTATGGATCTATCTGTGTGAGTGTGTGTGTGTGTGTAAGCTTAAATAAAAACGTGTCTTTATTTAAAAATGGATTCCATCATCTCACTTTTACAAGAACATCATTGCTCATTATAAATATTTTTCTAGTCTTTCATTTAACAATGGATTTTTTTTTTTTATATGTTACATAGAAAATATATTTTAATGACGATCGTAAGAAAAATCGGACGCAAAACAATTACTACAGATGGAAACAATACATTGCATTTTAGCAAAACATAGCTCTTATATCCCAACTAATTAATTGTACTTGGCTACTATAATACTTGAACACTAAAACTTTTGGATTTGTTATTATTATTATTATTTTTACTTTTTTTTTTTTGATTGAATTATTGTTATTATAGAGACCAAATAGTTATATTATTATTATTATTATTATACGAGCAAGTTCACAAATCTTTTGAGTGAGAAGAGCGCATGGGATTGGATGAGGTACGTACCTCCGTATACAGTAACGTATTTGAGGGAAGCAATTTGCCACCGGGGCTTCTTTTTTACTGTCTTGCGGAAGCTGTGATCATAAGTCAATTCCGTTATTATGACTGTTCATAGTCGATTCTGCTGTTCGAGTTTCGTATCGATTAAAATATTTCATGTTTTCAGAATAGTGATCGTTTTGATGTCGATATGTCAAAATTTTGCCCCCTCCCATCTTCATGAACTATTATCCCAAATACGCCGTTGACCGTATATGGGGTATACAGGGTACGCACATTAGTTAAATGCCAATCGCCCATGTTGCGTACCGTTCCGCGGTGTTTAACGTAATTAAGATTAACGGGAAATGTGTTGAAACAACGTTCGGCAGAGATGGGCTGTAATTAAATCAAAACGTTTGTTGTTTATTAAATCGTCAAAACGTTACGTCTCAAATGATTTGAAACGCGCGGTCGTACGGAATCGTTTTGTCCTACTCGGGGTTTGCGCTGGACGTCGGGGAAAAATATTATCAACCGCTGCCGCCTCGTATCCGTGTCGGGCGCTCGTATACCCGCGTTTGTTCGGACGACGGGTTCGCGCGCGCAATTCACGTACGAGGCGGTAAATCGCATCAAACGCGGATTGTGGTACACCAAGCGCGCAGGGTGTCCCGTGAAAGGATCTCCAAGAACGGCGCTCACCACCTCGTCGGCGTCACTACGACGGCACGTTACGCGCGAGCCGGACGGACGTTACGCGACCACAGTGCTACGGCGTTACGCTTCGTGGACGCGGTCCCACTGCATCGGGCGCTCGGACCACGATCAGTGGCGCGACTGCAGAGGTCGAGAACCCCCAACTTAATTTAAATGCGTCCCCATGTTCCATGTCGTTGTAAATTAAAAACGTCTACGGTTTGTACATTGTTCCAGATGAAATATCGAATACGTTTGACAGTATCCACAGAGAATTATGTTTGCCGCTTTAAATTTTAATATAATAAAATACCATAACGCGGAAATTAAATTTGTTGCATTTCTTTCTTATAACGGTGTTGTGAATAAAATAACGGTATAGTCTATACACTGGCTATATGTAATATTTAGGGGTGTGGATTCGTTATGTATCACCTCCAAGATTTGAACTTGAATTGCGCCACTGATGACGACGACATTGCACTGCGCAGTTGACAGACACCTTTTATCGACTGTCCGTATTGTCATGCGCAGTCGTGAGCAGTAGCTCTTAAATCTTACAAATGTGTACTCAGCCCGAACGTTTATTGGTTTTCACGAAGATTGATCGAGTTGTACGGGTTACCTAACATTTGGCTGCCAAGCAAGATTTGTTGAGAAATTGTCAAGACCCGAATTTAGTACGAAATGACTCCGGTGCCACCGACTGCAGGTGTTCACTGTAATTTTATACGACTCGACACCGATGAATTCGGATAGGGCCGTAGATAGACGATAGGTGGCTGGGTGGAAAAACGGTGCCCCTGGTGCGTTACAATCGATATGTAAATGTTATTTTTTTTTTAAATGAGCGACTTTAATATATTATTTTAAGTTGATTGGCTGAGAATAAAAATATACGATAGAACCTCCGTACATAATAAGGTACTCGTAATATGCGTACGTACGAAATACATAACTTAAATTTATTGAATTAATTTTAGTAATGTTTCATAATGTATTCCTTTCTAAGATGCACATGATCATGGATATCGAATCTTTATACTCAGATACGTCACGATAAAAGTGTTTTTAGTTTATTGGGAGCATTTTTAAGTTTCACACCTGGCGAAATATTCAGTTGCTACGGCGGTCTTTGCGGTATTGAACTTGCAAAAGTTTTTCACAGGTTGTTTCGACCGTGATTTTCCGTCGTTTTACAATGCGATATATATATACGAGATATCGTATATATCTTTATACGTATTGTAACGGCGGTAGCGACGTGGCCGACGTGCTATGCAAAAATACAATGTTACTATACAAACTCGGTGCCACACGTTTATTGTTATTATATTTCCTTGTCGCGAAGCCAATGGGTCCTTTATCCCATACCTTGTATGTGTATATACACCCTTCAGAACTATGGGGACTGCTGTGGATGAAAAGAAACCGCGGCGACGTTTACTGCAGTGAATACTGCAGCCGTTACAATAAAAAACGTGTCGGTTTACGGGGTTAAGGGGTAGTACTATACGTTTGTATGCGCAATAGTATTGTTTATCCCACCAAGCTACAACGTATTTTTTCTTTTATATTTCACAAAAACCTAGAGAACGCAGGAGTTTCATATTATATTAAATTAGTGAGGGTACGAGTGGGTTTTAAATATGTCCTACGTATTACAATATCGATTTCTTTCTACCGTACCCAAATGAAATTTTTCGATTGTACTGCCGTCACGAACAGCAATGTCGGCGGCGTAGGTAAAGGTTTACGTCGAAAACAAAAACTATAGCAGGTATACCTACGCGCACGTCCTGTACCTATGCACGTTATACGTACCCGTTGCACAGCGTACCCGTAAGGAATATAAACCGATTCCACTACTTTTAGGTTTATATATGAATAAACTGGTTTTCGCATCGAATCCGAATAATACATTATGCGTGCGCGTACACGTGTAGATAAATATAAATTCGATTTATTTATTATTTTAACCGACCTGATCGGGTCTGAGTCCGGCGGGCACCCACGTGTATTCCTCCAGCGCGCATCCGGAATCATCGTCCGAGTGAGAGTGCCGCTGCTGCGCATCGCCTCCACCCACCGTGGCCGTCACCATCGCGTGATGGTGGTGATGGCCGTGGTGGCCGTGATGCGACAGGTGGCTGCCGTGATGGTGAACCGCAGCCGACGACGGGTCTTTGCGACCGGCAGCCGTGGCCACAGCCGCGGTGGACGTGGCTGTACCCTGTACGGCCGTGGTGGCGGCCAACAGCTTCTCGTAACCACCGAGCGCTTGGTCGTAACCGGGTGGTCCCGTGGGCAAAGGCGGCAGCGGTGGAGGCGGCGTGCCCCGGTTAACGCCGGACGCCGTGGACGACATAACGGTCGCACTACTGATGCCACGGGACGTTGTCTCGGCGATTTGCCTGTGGTCGCTGCCACCGCCGCCGCTGCTGCTGGTGTTGTGGTCGTCTCGTGGACAGTTGCAGTTCCGGCACACTTGTCTGAAAACAAACGTGTGAAATACACATTGTTATTGCTAAGAAAATAAAAACTAATAATAAATGGTAAAAAAAAAATGTTTGGTTCGGAGCAGGGGCACGGACAAACATTTTTCGGATCCGGCATTCACACACGGTTACCGAAATTTTAAAATGTTCTCACGAGCTACCAAATATACATATACGTTTAAAATTGAAATCGGCACGGTAACAATGCATTCATATTGACTAATAGCTATAACGAGTTAGAATAATGTATTAATTTTAGAAAGCTAAAGTTTATTGTTAGACTTGTACAATTAGTTTATCGAGATGCGATTAGGTTTGTATTTTACACTGCATTCATTAACACCGAATATATTTTTGAAATTATTACAACTAATTCTCGGTGAGCGTATACGGTTTAAGAAAACACGAAATATTTCAAAGGGCGCCTAAGTGACTAGCAAAAACAAAACATTCGACCCTTTGAAGTTGACCACGGTTAAATAGTTTAAAGTACGGCCGAGAAGTAATATAAATTAATTTGCACTTTGTAAACAATGCATTTCTAGGCGCTCCGGTACATTTATAAATTTGTGTAGTACACGACACAAACCACCGTCGATGTTGGCGACACTGCTCGCAGATTTATTATTACGATACGCATAAACTATATTGTACTATACGTATATTATAATAATGTATTGTCGTCTACTAGGTGTGCGTAGTATACACGAGTACGGTGTAAATACACGAAAACACGATCCAAGTCCATGCGAGTCTCGCGGACGACCTTTGGAATACGAAATATTTTATGAAACCACCGCCGCCGTTGCCCGGCAATATTTGATTTTGCGTTCTGATATTATATTAATATTTACTCGAGAGACTTGCGGGCCGCCGCGGGGCAGTAATATTTATTGAATGTTATGTACTATACGTGCGCCGTGCATACATAATATATACGTGTACATAAAACGATGACGACGACAAGGTGGATTTTTGATGTGAAATTAGAGCAGGTATTCAAAAAGGTTCTTACGTATTGGCTAGAGTGCACAGAGGAAGGTAAGTAGGTAGGTACTCGTAGATAGGTGTACGCACAATATAATATCATAACCGTACGCGCCCGTACGTATTATTATGTAGGCAAACAGCGTTGTGTGTATGTTTGGAATTTATTATAAAAGCTTTCACATATTATTATTTGTAGCGCGGATGTAAGTGCACGTGTACGCATAATATAACCATAGTGACAAATCATCTGGACGACTGTACGTTGAGGTGTATCGATGTTTTTTATGTACAAAAAATAAATTAGGTACGTTAAACGGTTGTTTTTCAATTATATATATATTTTTTTAATACTTGTGCGTAGAAACGTCGCCATGTATTTTTACGATAACATTTTCGAGCCTCTTAAATCATATCGTCCACGATGATATTCGATTCCGTATACTAATATCACATAATAAATAGTTTCACTGCGCGCACGCCGGCTTTTTTAATTCCTTAGCTGATCGTAGTGTTTAGTGATAAAAATATCGTGTTTATGGTATCGATAAGTTAATAATAAAAAAAAAATTACTATATAGCATATTATACAGGAGTTTAAGACGGTCCATTATGTGAGCGTGTTCATAAATAAAGATTTTACTGCACATATATACACATAGGTGAAATAAAATTATACGACGCCGTCTCGTGCAGAGAAAACACGTTTTGGTATAAATATAATTTACTAAATATTTAATTGGCAATGGGAATTACGATTAAGAGGAAGATATAGAGTGAGAGAGAATTTTACAGAAATTGTTTCTAAAATATCGTAAACCATAAAACGTGTTTATGAAAGTAATTACCGGAGGTTCCGATAAATATTTCACGTTGCGCTATATTGGTCTAGATGAGTGTTTTATGGATGTGATATAAGTGAACAATTCAACATAATATATTTACACTGACCCTACACATTCAGGGTTTGTTTTCTGTAGCGATATTAAAAAATATTATCTGTTCAAAAAACCCGAAGGCCCGCACCTGATAATATTATTATAATAAATGTACAAATCACTTGTGTCTAATATTATTATGAAAAATTAATGACCAGAAAAAACCCTTTAGAACGCGATGCAATACACGCTGAAAACATCATGAAAAAACGTACGTGATCTAAAAAAATATGGTTACGCGAGTTTACATACACGAATGATTCTTTTGTTGTGAATCGGACTGTAGTAAAGTTGTTGAAGAATACGAGTTAATTGTAATTACTTACAGTTTGGAAGGCACGAGCATTGAGATGAGCAGTGGAACAATTTAAACGAACACTTTTTACTATACGTGCCGTCCAAACCATGAATAATTAATAACTATAGCTAATGTTAATCCAACCAAGGATTTATTTTCATAAACTTCTGAGAGGGTGAAAATATTCTGAATAAGAAGAAACGTGACGGTACAACATCGCGTAAATAATTTAAAAAAAGTACACGGCACGAATGACTCATTATTTCCCAAACAGAACAACTTTACGTACACGCGGTAGTCGCGGCCAATAAACGATACAGTTTTCGGACTGCTGCAGGTTCGGACACACGTGCGTGGTAGGTATTATGTAAAACTGTTGTGGCGATTAAAATCGAATATTTTACGAAACACGCGTAGGCCCCGCGGTTGTGCGGCACATGATATAATTTTAAGACCTGTAGCCGTTCAATGCGTACGAAAAGTTTTACGTCGATTTCGTTCCATGCACCTATACGGGAAGGCGAAAAACGTATCTCGATGTTACGATCTAGGTGAACGCTGCTGCTGTACGGAATACGTACGTTCACCACATATTATTATGTATAGCGTTCCGTGTGTTCGAGAATAGTCACGAGGCTAATGTTTGTAAGGTCCTGCGGAGGCGATCGAGCGCTACAAATTATATGCCGTCGTCCGTCTAGGGACGGGATGGTACGGGAGGTTTACGCGACGCAACTGCAGGTACACGAGGGAAGGAGAAATAAAACCGGATAAAAAGTGGCCGCCGCGAGTCTATATTATACGCGTGTCTTTATATATATATATACAACTACTATAATTATTTATGCTAATTGTCCGGTGGTTCATTGTATACGGGGCGCGTATACGCTAAAGGCTCGGTGCCACGGTATAAATCACTGGCGGCCTCCCGGACACGCGACGAGGTAGACGCTGCGCGCGCGGTGTATGCACGGGATTTTTTTTCTCTCCTAATATTCTTCCCGACCGCTGTGGAACAGCAGACGACCGCACCGTATGCACTTGTACAATACAAATTATAATAATACGTAGTATTGGTAGCGGGCACCGTGCACCACATAAACTCGTCCGCCGAGTGTATTAATTTGACATTTCAATTGCTACGTATACTGCACGTGTACGCTAGTCCGCGGACCGATAGGAAGGTGTTTCGGACGCGGTTGCGACGACGAGTCCGAGCGGCTCTCGGACCCCGGACGCACGGCCGCGTGAGTTTTCACTTCGAGGTACCAATTATGTACATACTATTACTATCGTTATTATTATTATTGTTGTTATTATTATTATTATTATAAATTATACACGACCGGGCGCATTTATCACATTTGATCGCACCGGTGTGGTTATAGTAATGTTATGCGCGCGCGACGTCCAGCAATAATTCACGAAAACCCGTCGCCGTAAAATAATAATAATCGTACCCAATGCGCGCGCGATAACTGCACAGCAGAAGAGTGTTAATGTGACTGTTATGTGATTGTAATGGACCGAATGGATTTCCGATACGTCCGACTACATGCCGCGATGACGTCACACTATTATTGTTATTCGTTCGATTGCAGCAGTAGACACTCGATACTAGTGTATTTCAACTTTGCAGTACACACAAACACACACACACACACACAAACACGCATAAAAACGCACACATAGGTGCTGTGTGTTACGTATTACAAAAAGTTTCTCGAGTTGCTACACATGTCTACGTACACGTACACTGTAGAAGGAGAATATTATTGATCATTGTCCACCGAAAAACTGAGTGTACACACGGAATAATGCGCGAGTCGAGACGAATATCATTATAATAATATGATTAATTTCCATGCGCTAGACACACAATCGTCTTTGAATCCACGTATAATAAATAAACACGCGGATGTTAAAAATCTTTACTATACCATTTTCGTAACTGTTATAGATGTACTTTGAAATTTTTTTGTTTTAGCAGGAAATTTAATAAGAAAAAGTTTACCTCCCGCCATTGGTTGTTCCGTATTAAGCAGACTTAATGTAATTATTAGTTTATTGTTTACCGTCGGAGCAAAAAATAATGAAAAATGTTGGCGAACACAAGTGCAAGCAACACTAGTAGGTCGGTCATTAACCGTCATATTATAAACAGCACATAATTAAATATTGATTAATTAAATTAAGAAAATGCAACGACTGCTGACTGTTGTAATAATGTTTGGTTAAAAAATCAAAAAAGCGGACGATAGTTGAGATACCTGTAGCGTAAAATTATTATGAAATTACTTTGCCGTGAATGAAACGAACAAATAACGAAATGTTTTTGCTTTGCACATTAGTTACGTCCCGATCAAATATACGGTTACTATACTATTTTATTTTCTACTAACAAAATTATGGTTTTTCTCAACATGTTATTCAAGCAAAGTGGAATCATCAACCGACTATAACCAAAATAACCAAATAACCAATCTAAACCATCTTATATCTAATTTGTATTTATTACTGAACTAGTTTGTTTTACTGTGGGAAATCATATCATTTGTAAAATTAGAAAATTGATGTATTTCAAGTGTACTTTAGAAGTACAATATTTTAAATTAATATAGAGTCAGATGAAAAATTTGTTATCCGACTACAGGTCTAAAAAGAAAAAAATTACAAAAAATGACTGGACAGAAAAAAGCCCGTCGTGTTGTTGTGGTTTATAACGAATTGCGTTTTTTTACAACCACTATCCGGTTTTCTCACTATTGTTC